GAGAGCTAGCTATCGAATCTCCAGAAACTCGAAGGGTGAATTTCGAGAATTCACCAGATTGGTCAGGAGAGGTCAGGTGAATAACCACACTTGGGTCCTGTATGCGTGTCTCATAAACACAGCAAACATCCATACCCCGAGTTGCTAGAGTCTTTGCCAACAAAGCCTGTTGACCAATTTAACGGAGGCTGCGGACATTGAAGGCTCCAATATGTAATTTGGAGCGTGGTTGAAGGAAACCAGTGATGCTGTTCTGTGGACAGATCGTTGTCGAAGGCTGCGGAGGTAGGAGAAATTGAAGATGATGCAGCATCATTAATTGAGAGACGTGAAGGAAGATTCGAAGGTAATGATGGAGGAGGTGGATAGCAGTCAGAAGAAACTTGAGTGCTGACAGAGTTGGAACATACTACAACTAGAAGAAAATTAAAAGAGGTCTCTATAACTTGTCTTTTCGCTGCTGCGTTAGCCTTACACTGCTGAACTGTTACCTCCAGGTAAATTAGTATTTTTTTGTGCAACCATCACTCATAGCTATGAGTTTATCTTGAACTAAATCTCATTAGTTTAGAAATACTACCATCAAGTGGCAGTGAGTACAAACACACGGATATTCACAAAGCGATATGGGTTGATTTCACCAGATAAACACATTACACTAGAAATTGGATCGTCTTCCTCTCAATCTCAAGAAAGTGGAGACGCAGCCAGGCTACTGGACACAAGATCAAGAAGGGGAGCAGATGTAGGTCCAGACCATTATCTAGTGAAAGGAACCTTCCAAATCAAGTTGAAAGCCTTTAAAGAAGTTGGTGATAGACCACAGTTTAGGTTTAACACATCACGTCTGCAATCAGAACAAAATGGGAGACATTGAGCAACATCCCTGAAGGATCTGGCGTGGAAAAACACTAGAACTCTCTGAAAGAGATGTGGAAAGAAACCTGCATAACTGTATCAGGAGGAACAAACAAGACAAGGAATCGATCTCGACGGACACATGCAAACTGATAGAGTAGGGAGAGGAAGATGGTGAAGCAGAAGATGAACCAGCGCAGTGCGGTGCAGGGGTGAACAACGAAAAGAGGAATTGAGTACAACCTACAAAACACTACACTGGACAAAGAAGTGAAGAAGAGTGCGCAGAAAGACAAAAGAAACTTCTACGACACATTGGCAAGTGAAACAGAACAGTAGACCCGAAAACACTATATCAAATAACCAGTTTACTGTCTGGGAAGAGATCAACGCAGATGGAACCAATGAAATATAGTGAATGAAACCTAGTTACCAAAGAGGAGAAACAAAGGAAACAATGGGCTGATCACTTCAAAAATCTCTTCAATCGACCACCACTTGCAACTCCTCCAGAAATACCGCCAGCAGGCAAGCCATAGAATTACCAGCGAACACAAGCCCTCCGACAAAAGCAGAAGTAAAGTCCTGAACACCGTAGTCACTGAAATCCGGGAAAGCGGCAGGATCAAATGGGATTCCGCCAGAAACACTGAAAACACGCAGAGACAACACCAAACATGCTCACATCACTATTGCAGAAGGTTTGGAAAGAAGAAACGAAAGTTACCTGCATATTGATTGGAGGGAGGGTTACCTTGTCAAACTGCCAAACAAGGGAGACCTAAGTCTTCCCAAGAACTGGCGAGGAATCATGCTCCACTCCTGTCCACCCCAAGCAAAATATTAAGCCGTATCATCCTAGAGAGACTAAAAGATGCGCTGGATTCAAAATAACGACCGGAACAGGTTGGCTGGTTGGCTTCAGGAAGAACAAATCATATTCGGATCAAATTGCAACGCTACGCATCATCACTGAACAGAGTATGGAGTGGCAGTCAACTCTACCTCAACTTTCATCGACTCTGAAAAGGCCTCGATACTGAAGATCAGATGGGAAGGCCAGAAAGAATAAGCAAAAAAAGAACTCTGGCTGGCAACGAACCAACCAAGAACCCATCGCCCAACAAATATTCAGAAGAAAGTGGAGATGGATTGGACTTACAGTGGAGAGACCATTCGGGAACATCACGCACCAGACCCTCGAGTGGAATCCGAAGAGGAAACGAGGAGTTGGGTGGCCGAGGGTGATATGGAGATCATGTGAGGAAGAAATGAAAGCTTCTGGGAAGTCGTGAAGCCAGGTTCAAAAGCCTGAAGGGAACAGAGTGCAATGAAGACGTGCTACTGAAGCCCTATGTTCCACTAGGAACTCAAGGGACAAATAATAAATAATAATAATATACTGCCATCAAGTGAAAGTAGTTAGTAAGTTAGCACTATCACACAGGGATTGGTCTATTAAATTCCTTGAAGAATGATGAAGACGATAAGACATTTCAGTCAGTTTACCTGCATAGTTTTAATGCAACTTATTTAACAATCACTGTGAGAATTGTATTCCCACGGTTTAAGACACTTTCCAAGATTCTTTTCAAAGTTCTCTGTTTCCTATTTCTTATCGCTGTATTTGAATCAAGTGAACTTCAGTTGTCAATATGCAACACAGTACTCGAAAAAAAATCTATATGATAATAATCTAATTAGTCTTACATGATACACAAGATACACATAAATGAGCAATCATTTACTGTGAATCTATGTTTAACACTGACGAAGTAACAGTACCCAACTTAATGAATCGGTAAACTTCAAGAGCAAAAATTGACCTGATAGAATTGAATAAGTTGAGTATTAGATGGATGGTTTATAAGAGAAATATATTAGCAAAACTCCAATGACGTTTTGTGACTTCACTTGGATTTTGCAAATATAAATCATTTGCAAAATATAAAGAGGGTGAAACAACTAAACCAAGCAACATAAAATAGTTATTCCTCTTCCGTTCAACGAAGCAGTTTACTTTAAGCCAAGAAGAATAGTACACCAACCAATACAAACTGCGTATGTTATCCCAGCACATAGACCTTTTAGAAATAAATGTTAAAATATTGAAACAATAGTATTTCAGTAATCCACAGTAGTTCTAGGCAGAGACTGAAGCAATATGACATGTTGGTCGCTGACACCAACCTCTCTGAAGAACATAAGTTAACTGCGTAGATAACAACTACTTATCAATTGGAGTGACACTTATTTCCCAATATCTTCTTGACCTTCACTGTTTAACTTTTATTTTACATGTGGTTGAATTACAACAGACAAAGACAAAATGAAGGTCGAAGAGGAAGATAGATGTTTATTTCCTGGTTATATTGAGATTTATGAAAAGGAATAAATTTATGATTCCCACCGTCACGCCATATGAGCGCAAGTTTGATTAGAACAAACAATAGGAAACGCTGTTGTTTACTAGTATCTAGACATCTCCCATTTATTTGTAAAACCCCTTGGTCACATGCCCAAAGGTTACTGATTTGTTTCATATGGATCGAACTGTTATTTGTTAACATGCTTGTTATTCTCCGTTGTTTAACTGGACTAAATTGTCCGACCTCAGTAAAACAACGTAGAATTACAAGCATATCAACAAACAGTAGTAACCAATACCGGTTTTACAAGAGGTGGCTATCGTGCCTCAGTCACCTAGTGCACAATGCCTTGGTGTTGAAGCGATGAGTATGAGGTTCGAGTCTCAGTGGGGACAATATTACTCACTGGGGTGCAAGCACATCCAGCTGAGTCCCAAACAGAACGGAACGCGCGTCTTAGATTCTTCTGCTAGTTACAACCAAGTAAATTATCAGGCTGTTATTACCTAATTAAAAACAACTCTAATAACCACAAAATTATTGACGCATAGAAAAGATTGAAGATAACTGTTTAAGGAGCATGACGAAAACAACTAGTAATATTCGATTTCCGTAGGATGAGCAATGCAGCTACTAGTGAATAAATACCCGCAACTTGAATCTAATTTTGCTTTAATTTTCCGCTGACAAAATTTTTTTGGTATGAGTATGAAATCTTTAATATTAAACTGTCCATTTAAGAAAAAGCAGTGCCATTCACAACATTCAGTAGATCAAAATACGACTGTCATCTTAAAGATATTCCGTTAGTTCGCTTCCTTCCTTACTAAAAATCCATAAACAGGTTATATAATGAGTGCATCTTTGGTACAATGTATTAGACATTCGACTTCCCATTTACTTAACAACAAGTTCTAAAACTGTAGCATGTTACATAGTATCATAAGGCTCGCATAATAGATATTACTCATTGTTGAGTAAATGAAGCTATGGGCTTGTTCCTTTAGTTACATTTGATGTTATTACAACTAAACATCAACCTTCTGTTTTGCCAACTACTTCCTGAGGTTATACCACCTTAATACTAAAATATCGAGTCATACTTATTCAACTACCATTCACAATCAACATCAAGTTAGTTGGTGTTTCAGATACCACATGAGGAACTATGAAACCAGACTAGAAAGTTGCGTGATTACCTTCATCAAGGTGATATTTATGAAACAGAAATATAGTCGAAATATACTCTACCACAGTGCACAGTAATTTCGCAAACTCTAAAACCTTATTGATTTGTAGTTTTAATTACACATTTTGTTCTTGTATGGTTGACAAAGTTATCTGGATACTTTGAAATGATCTCAGATAATTATTATGCAAACTAAAAACAGTTCATCGTGTTTGAAATAGTTCCTAGGAGACAATACCATTTCACTTTGATATAACTAGCAAAAACAAACCAACATATTCCACCATCATAATGGAAACGTTCTGCTCTCAGGTTAGTATCGTCCCTACGGGAATAGAAAATCAAGTCATTTTAATCCATTCACCATAAATCATTTCACGTTTAGGTTGCTATTCATCGCAGAAAGACAATTGAACAAACATTGATCTATATTTCCGACTTCTGTCAGTTCCGGAAATAGCGTTTCATAGTCATTGAAACAATATCTCCTAGCTACTTATCGTGAATGTATGACAAATGGAAAAAGATGGAATACATGACGCTACATATTCACTAATGATAATATAATAATGTAATGCATTTACCTGAGATCGTTCACCTGCTTCATCAGATAAAGTAGTAGCTGAGTCAGTCAAGACTGGTGTAACTTTGTCCAATTCTATAAAACGACAAAATGTTTGCAAATTCACTTGCATACAAATACATGTAGCGAGTACAAGTCATTAAAACTCTATATTCACTTTATAATGACCAAAACTGACACACTTAATTTTATTCCATGTACGACTTACGATAATTACTATCTGTCCTTTAGGTTCCTAGTGGAACGTAGACCTTCAGTAGCACGTCACTATTTCACTCTCTTCTCTCCAGCCCTTCAAACCTCACTCCACAACTGCCCACAAGCTCTCACTTCTTCCTCACACCATCTCCTCCATCTCACCCTCGGATGCCCAACTCGTCGTTTCCCATTTAGCTTCCACTCGATGACCTGGCCTAGCCTGACGTGTGATGTCCCAAAACAGTCTTCTCAGTGTATGTCCAACCCAATCCAATCCAGTCCAATCCGTCTCCACTTTCTTCTACATATTTGTTGGACGATAGGTTCTTGGTCGGTTGTTTCGTTGCCACCCGGAGTGAGTTCCTTGTTGCTTATTCTTTCTGGCCATCCATCTGATCTTCAGTATCGAGTGAGTGTAGGCGGTAGCTGTTCGTGTACTTCTGTAGTTTGCTTCTCGTAACGCACCAAGTCTCTCAACCATCACTTAGAAGCACTGACTTACTTGAATGACATTCGTGTTAGAAATGCGGATCTTCTTCTTTATGTTGAATGCAGTGAAAGAGATCTCCACACTGATTTCAGGTTAATGAAGGCCTGTTTTGCTGTCTTTCTGATCCTGGCTGCTTTGATACCCTCATCTGTGCCGCTGCCTGTAGTTGAATCGATGCTGCCTAGGTAGGTAGGTAGGTAGGTAGGTAGGTAGGTAGGTAGGTAGGTAGGTAGGTAGGTAGGTAGGTAGGTAGGTAGGTAGGTAGGTAGGTAGGTAGGTAGGTAGGTAGGTAGGTAGGTAGGTAGGTAGGTAGGTAGGTAGGTAGGTATGTGGATGAAAGAGACAACTTTCTTCACATTTCTCCCGTTGATGGTAACTGGTTCTTGTTGTTGTTGTTGGTGGTGGTGGTGGTTGGGTATCTTCATCACCTTCGTCTTCTCTACGTTCACCTGAAGGGAGTCCTGTCTTCCTTGGCTATCTCGCCTCTTCTGCCAACTTGTTAGTTTATGCCTGTAAATCTTCGAGTTTGTGCGACAAGACATTAGACATAAACCATCATCAGCGGCGAAATCCAAATCTTCGTCTGGGTTCTTTTCATCGGTCAAACAGCGAGTACCCCTCCTCTCACAGCTCCTCACAGTTTGTTGCGTGATCCAGTCCAGTCCAGTCCAGTCGACTACAATCAGGAAGACCATTTGTGATAGTAGGTGGCAACCTTGTCTCACTCCTTCCTGTCTTCGCTTCGAAGGGAACACTGAGCTTCCCATTGTGAATCACTCGATATATATAAGCATCAAATAGGATATAGCTGCTGTTGAATGAGGTTGATAAAGGTTTGTGGTACTACGTAGTGTTGAAGCAGCTTTTTGCCAAATCACTTCTCGGTCGACGCTGTCGAAGGCCTTTTCAAAATCGATGAAGTCGAGGTTGAATTGAGTTGACTGCCATTCTATGCTCTGTTCTATGATGATGCGTAATGTTGCAATGTGATCCTCGCATGGTTTACTTTCTCTGAAGCCAGTTACTCCCTTCGAATATTACATAATAACACATCCAAGATGTTGCACGTGTTCAAATGATCAGTTAAATAACTTGCAAACGTCACATTTGATGGTATTCAATATTACTCGTATAATTGGAGTGAAATGTATGGGGAAATCTTGAGAAACGGCTTGTTCATACCCAAACTCATGGAATTAGTTAGAGGATAGCTTAGTAGTTGATATGAAATGGGAAGTCTTGATGTGAGACGTCAATGTAAAAGAATTTCTTCATTGAACTACTTGTTAATAGTAATATTTTGGTTAATTCGCTTTGCACCGTATAATCAACAAGAGCGATAAGCTGAGAATCATGGCAAAAAAGGTATTTTAATATAAATCATCTGTCAAATAGGTATTTCAAGCCTAAACTATCGGTCATCAGAAGTAATACGAAGAAATTTAACTTCCTATAACTGCTAAACCACTAACTCTCATAAAAACAAACATCAAAAAAAATCCCACGAAAAGTTATTTAGAGGTAGCATTCATCACTGACTGACATCAGTTGGGGAACCATTGAAAATTTGAGAGCACTGGACACCTGCTTCGTCCTAGTATGGGACTCCTCGGCAGTACCCACCCACGACCCGGTTAGGGGTTAGGGATCGAACTCAGGACCTTCAGGTTTCATGGTGAACGCATTAACCACCGAGCCACTGGGTCGGTTTTCAGTGGTTCAGTTTCCAACCTCTGTCAATTCACGATATGGTGCGACTATCACCCAAGGTCTTCAGTTGGTATCAACTTCACTTCTGGCTGGTTGACCCCGTAGGTCATGGCTTCTCATTAGAGCTTCGTGATATCCATCTGGAAGCAAGTCACTAATTAACACTATACAGTAATGTATTTTTGAGATGAGTAGGGACTTTTTTTAGTTTAGAGGTAGTATTTATCATGGAATGACATCAGTTGCGGAACCATTGAAAATCTGGGAAAACCGGACGGAGCTGTTTCGTCGTAGTATGGGACTCCTCAGCAGTATGCAAAGTTATTTTAGTATTTCACGTCATGTTTCCCACGATCCCTTTGCTCTCAAATACAATGGAATGACTAAATATTCTATTCGATTTTATGTTGAATAACTTGACTTGTTTGATAATTAATTGTACTTTATATTCTTAATGTAGCCAAATAGTTGAATGGGTCTATATCAACGTGTCTGTCTATCACTAAACGACAAGACGCCACGGTTTCTAAAAACTGTATTGAGCGCTAAAAAATCATTCGGATCTAAGATTTGTATATTAACTAATTGTTAACCCAAAGACCTGGCTGAGAAGGGAAACAAAACTGGTACCATCAGATTGTCAAACTAGTCTTCGAATGGCACAAAGTACTATTTTGTAATCAATCCATGCATAAAAACGCCGAGCATGAAACTGGTTGAGAAAAACATGAGATTCTAAATATGTAGAACTACGACTTATTGATATGCTTGTAATTTTCCGTTGTTTTACCGGATCGAAAAGAGTGACCATTGGCATATGGGCTCCTATGCGGATGACTCGATATTGCCTGAACATTTATTACCATTATTCACTTGGTTGTGGCCAACAGAAGAATCCAAAACGCGTGTTTCGTATAGTTTGGGACTCGTCAGCTGGATGTACCTACACTTCAGTGAGTGATGTTGTTCAAACTGAGACTCAGACCTCGTACCCATCATTGATGAGTCCTAAATAAGATGAAACGCGCGTCCTGGATTCCTTTGCTAGTTACAACTAAGTAAATTATTATAATTAATATTCAGGCTATATCGAGGCATCCGCAAAGAGTCCATATGCCAACAGAGGTCGAACAATTTGATCCAGTAAAACAACGGAGGATTACAAGCATATCAACAAATACTCATAACTAATACCCGTTGTACAAGAGGTGGCTATAGTGGTCTAGCGGATAAAGCCTTGGCGTTTGAAGCGATGGGTACGAGGTTCTGGCCTCATTGGGGACGACTTTACGCACTGGGGTGCAGGCACATTCAACTGACGAGCCCCGAATAGAATAAAACACGCGTCCTGTATTCTTCTGCTAGCCACAACCAAGCGAATTATGTAAAGGGATTCCTTGAAGTTTCAAGTGGTGGTCAAGATGTATATTCAGGTTCATCAAATATGCTAGATAGTTCAAAGCACAATAAAAAGTATAGCTCGTATTTGAGTATGAATAGAAATCAATCAGAATACCTAATCATATTCTGCCGATAGTATGTTTACCATTACAGTAGCGTGAAAAGGAGTAGGTTCATACTTCTTACTAAGTTTGCGATGATTATTTTGCCTAGTGTAACAACGGAAATCTTTCATTTGAACTATACATACTTCAGCATAAGCAAATATCCCTTTATTTCAAGATTGAGCAGTGAGCAACACCTATACCAGAGATATGGAAAACTTTACTACCAATCAAAAAACAAAAAAACAAAGAGAGATCAGGTGACAGGACTATAAAATCAGATATCGGAAGAAGTGTGGTTACATTGATATGATTATAAGCAATAACTTATGCTCGAAACGTAATCAAGTAAATAATACTGTATCACTGTGCGCTTTATATCAAATAAACAAATCTAATATGGAATTACATTCTACCACAGTGCCCAAGTTTTTCACTTATATTAGTGAGAGATTTGGCCACAAATAGATGGTACTTAGAATATGTCAGACACTCAACAACCTTGTGCACATTCATGCAGAAGGCAACGAACCATACAAATTATGTGTGAGCTACGGATACTTAGTACCTGGCTGTCCAGAACCTTGGTAGAGGGAGCCGTCTTCGAACCCGTGACTCATAGTGCTCAGATCAAGTAGCCACATTCAATCAATCTTCCGACAAATTCCAATAAACCACCTGAACAACAAGTGAAATAAATAAATGAGAGCAAAGTGAGCATTTCACATCCCTGTTGAGATTTGTCTAACTACTAACAAAATCATGAGAGTTCTAAGGTAAGTGAAGTGAGTACTACAATAAACCATTGAGGTTTTTATCCTCAAATTAAACATCGAACAAGACTTGCTTCTGCATCTGCAAAATGAGAATGTATATTTTGGCCACTCAGAATAGAGCAATTAAAAAGGGGAATTAAACCTCAATGTAAGAAGCTTCTTCACCCCTCGATCTATAGCAGAACAACGTGAAAACTAGCAAAGATAGAGTATTGGTTTAGGTTGTCATGTTTGACAGCAGCGTGTAGGATGCGCAGTTTCCGGAGAAAGGGTGTAAGTCAGAGATTACATTCAGTAACCAAGCTTAAAAAGAAGAGTGATTTTCTGGCATATTGCATTTATATGATATGATACTACAAAGTGTTAGTACAACCATTGTTTTTGATGTGTAAAACAACGGTGCTGATTTTTATTAATTACCAATACAGAAAGATTAATACTCGTTAGAAAGGTAGAAACACTTACTAACTTATCATTAAATTTCAATAGTGAATTTCATTCTTTAGAAAAACCAATATACTACAGCTTTTATCGTAGAATGTTTGATAGGATAAAAATGTAACTCAACCCAGCTCTGAGCCACACTATGTGAGAGTTGGTGATACTAACCCCGGTTGCATTGAAGTAGGTGGAATGAGGTCAGACCTGGGACATACCGCTTCAAAATCGAATTCCTTTAGCCAACGAGCTGAACTTCTCCCCCCCTTCCAAAAAACGACATTTGTCAATGGTTATTAGGCTAACAAAAATCTAAATACTACCTCATAACGAAAAAATATGAGCACAATTGCAACGAAAGTCAATGGGAAAATATTAATCTCGTCAAGGTCACAAGTGCTGTGTCGATAAAAGGCAGTAATGAGAAAATCTATGCTAAAATTTGAGGTAACCGTTATTAGTTAACTGAACCTAGTTACTAAAACAATAACTATCTTATTATTCCAAAGTTGGTTATAAACAACAGTTGATTTATCCATGCTTTTTGGTACAACCCGGGTGTGATTAGGTACACTAACTATCAGTTGTATCTAATACTTTCTAACACTATCTGCTACATCGTACAGCACTAATTTCACAACACAATCGGTTGAAGGTATTCTCCTCTTCACATCACATGAATCCATCCCTTATGTTACAGTTCTGGTCACATGATGGAGTTAAAACTTTGGCAATACCCAAAGAAGTGAGACATCTTAAATACTTTCGTCAATATTTTTTGAAAATTAATATTCCTAATTTTCCTATATCCTACCTGATACAAGTGACCGTGTCTTCCTATCTACAGAGTTGCCAGAGAGAGAGAGAGAGAGACTTATCCTCACAATGAAACCCCTTAGTAGATTGTATTGGCAAATGAATTAACGTGATAAATGGTTATTTGTATCATAACCTCGTCCTTTATCAGTGTGTGAGTGGACTCAGTACACTTGGTTAGTTATTAACTGTAATCACCAGTTTTGACCGAAGCCAAATCTACCTTATAAACAAAGATGATTGGTTACAATATATCTTATCCGATCCAAGTTGTCACTATACGAAACAATTTATCTTGTGATTGTTCTTAAACTCAGCACCTTTCGGGAACCCGATGCCGCCAGTTACTACGTTCATTCAATTATCAGTACTCCTCATGTTATTTTTGATGCTCTCATGTTAGAAAAAAGTCAGTTATCTGTTTTTTCACCTACTTGTCATAAAAACTGACAACTGTTAACTAATTTGTGAAGCTATACTGAAGATGACCATTAATCTAAAGTCGAAATAGCTATCTGTAAAAATAACTATCAGAGTTAGAGGTTATTCGTGCAATCAAAGGCATAGTATGCGATACTCAAAACCATAGCGTAGTATACACATGAACAGAAAGAAAGAGTTGAGAAACAATAAGACATCGTTGAGTGAGATGAACTCTTACAACCTCAAAATAAATTTCATTCTTATCTATTACGAAAAAACAATATTTAACTTATGTCAATGATTTAAATGTGTTTCATCACACTGGAAAAGTTTTGTAAGTATCCTATGATAAAAATATGAACAAAATTAGTCTCTCACCTTCATTTTTAAAGCCTCTTAACAAAGGAGCTTGATCGTTTAGAACTTCTGCGGCGGCTGCAGCAGCAGTTGATGAAGTTTTGACCTGCTCAGACAACTCTTGTTTACGTTGTTCTCGTGCAGACTTGATGTTATCCTGTTCTTCACGTAATACCTTTATCTTGGTCTCAGGATCGAGTTCATTATGAGGAGTGGATTCTAAGACACGAGCGACCACTTCTGATGAAGCTGAAGCGGGCAACTGAGCAATAGCCTGAAAAATGAAAGATAAACATAGTTAAGCTCTGAGAAAGTGAATAACTAGTGGAAGATATCTAAGCTATCTCCAAAAATATTAAAAAGGATCATGGCAATTCTGCTATGCAAGCGAATATATATGTATATATATATACATATATATATATATATATATATATATATATATATATATATATATATATATATATATATATATATATATATATATATATATAGTGCATTCCATTCACAGTAATCCTCAAATAAAACTAGCAGACGTAATGCTAAAAGATACTATACCTGATTTCTCACTGGTTATTTTGAATACCGGATTTAATCCATTAGGTTGTTATAGGTTGCTGTTGATAGTTACCAAGTCAAAAATACTTAACCTTCGTTAAAAACAGTCAAGTTACTGTTATATTTACGTGCAATAGGTAGACAGACAGACATCAACAGAATACTTGTTAATCTCGATTCGAACCCACTAGGAAAGACTAAATAGTTATATGACTTGATAGAAGGAGAAATGCTTTGTGATAACCTTTAGTATCACTATTAAAACTGTTTTTTTTTTAAGGTGGAGTGATTTTGGTAAATGACTGTGTATAGCCTTAATGCCCAATCTAAATAAGTAAACAAATTAGTTACCTTCCAAAGTCCCATGTTTATTAAAGATCCACTTAGATCACCTTTAAAAGCAACCGTTATAGAAGAATCATTAGGATATGTGAAAGTACTTAAAGAATGTGATGACTACAGTTAAGTCATGTAGAAACCCACAAGAGCATACGACAGGCGTTTTGACTGCTTCTTAAAAAAGAAAACTAGGAATTCATCAAAGATTGTAAGTTGTATTTACTGAGACCTACATTGTAATGTGGGGGGGGGAAATTAGAGAGTTCTACCGTGACTCCCACTTTACTGTTTTTTTATACTCTTAAATATCTCTCCTCAAAAAGATTGTGAGATCAAATAGCCTAGTTTAGCACAAAGAATATCGATGATTAAAAAAGTGAGGTAGGGGAAAGCAGTGAGTAATTAAAACACATTCTTTCAATAACCATCAATATTGATAATAAGTCAGTGTATTATGGAAGCATAGGCTTCACCAACAATGCATCATACATAATTACTGTATTGGTGTTTAACCAAACCAAAAGATAATTAGGTATCATGGTGATTCTGATCCATTATTCAGTGCGATGACATTAGATATAAGCACTTCTTTATGACATGAAAAAGTCACCTGGATTAGGACAGCTGTCTGATAGGCAAAATCAATGTAGAACCACGCACACAAGTGCATCGGCTTAGGCTGCCACACTTTACAGTGGTAGACAAACAACAGAGGGATAGAAAAAGAGTGATATTCAAACGATAATTCGGCATTCGCAGTACGTGTCCAAGTCACCCCATCCGATGAAGGTCCACAACCTCTTCAACGGACTTGCCTAGTACCCCTCGTCTGACCTTAACATTGCTCACACGAAGATTCCACCAAACGCGAGCGATACTGCAAAGATATCTGTGAACGAAACCCGGTAATCGCTTCATGTCTCATGCCTCACAGCCGTATAAGATGAAACGGACTGCAGCGCGGTATACTCGTTCTTTGACATCGCAGATTTCTGAGCTGTTTTTAAGAAAGTTTCGGCCCCATGATCTTTTCATTGAAGAGTAAAATTATATATTCATTTCATGAATCAACTTATAAATACAGCAAAGTGTTTTACTTTTTAAGCAATAATATGTAGTGTAAATCAATATTATTTATAAATACGTCCACAAATATAGGGCCAAAAGGACTTCCTAGTCACACCTCCTTTTTTTCAGATAGTAATGATGGATACTGGCTAGCAGTGGAATCCAAGAGGCACATTTTGTTCCATTTTGGACTCGTCAGCTAGGTATACTTGAATCCTAGGGAATGATTTTGTTTCCACTAGGGTTCAAACCCAAGACCGATTTATTCAAACGCGAAAGTTATCCAGTAAGCCACTGGGTCACGACAGCTTATCCTTACGCGACGGGTATAGTTTTATTTTAATGCTTTTAGTTTCCTGTCGTTGACTAGACCAAATCGATCGGTTTTTATTGGTATATGGGCTCCGACCCGGATGCCTCGATATTCCCTGTATTTTTATGTTGATAACAAAAGAGCAACCAGTTTGGTCCAATCAGCGACGGGAAATTATAAGCAATCACATACCTTCCTTCTATCTATGACACGAACTATTAAGCTGGGATTACAGAACAATCTAAAATCGTCCCATCTTTGAGATGGAAAGCCTATTTCACCAACATGACTTCATATCATATAAATTGTCTCCCCAAACTTACTGTAGCAAATAAAGATTCAAGAATAAACGAAACCACATGTTCAATACCTATTCTGAAACCATTAATACTGCTGACAGACTGAAATTATCTCTAAAGGTGTGTATAACGAGTCCCTTATAACCGTGCATGCCATCAAGCACGCTTATGATACAAGGAATGTTTCATTGGCAACATATCACGTGTAAGTATCTTCAGTTTATGAATCTTGCAAAGGCCATGCTAAATCGTGGTATTTGCCTCCAGGTTTCAATACCTCAAAGCATGTCTCATCGACTACACTCTGCGTCATCAACTGATCTCAGAATGCTGTGATATCTCTGTGCTTTTTAGAGCTAAAATGTTTACCATTACTCAGTTAACCTTGCATCCTTTAAATGTAGTCTCTTCTGATGAATATAACCACATTGCAACCCTGATGAAATTTAAGCAAAACAAGTTTACCGTTCTTCATCACTTCACTAATGTCATTCTTCTACTCTCTAAGAGGAGAATTGCTATAAGATGTTAATGCCACATTGGGTATTCAGACCGAAAATTATGGCTGTAGATCAACCTTCTGTATCGTTGGATATGAGTTGTCAGTTAAACGACTGGTGAAACAAACTGCCGAAATGAAAATTAAAATCGACTTTACTCACTTTCTTGTGGGATATAGGATTCAAAAATCAAGGACAATATTTCGAGTTCAAGTTTTGATAAATCCACACCAGAAGAACTCGCAAAACTCTTTTCTGGACATTTCGAAGAAAATGATTCGATTAGTTCTGGAAATATTAGCATCGATAATGCCTTCTTGGTGTATGAACAAGTTAAATGATCGATGATGGATTTGAACATCGTTCTACCTAGCAAGGTTTGGGTAGCCATGTAGTAAGTATCCTTAGCCCCAACACAGTAGGTGTGCCTCATTACCTTCTGTACCAATGTACACGTGGTTGCAGAGTGCATTCCGACTTCTTTTATGAACAAGTTAGCTCAATCGGATAAACGTTAATATTACCTTCGTGCGTAACGTTACCATTATCACTATACTTCGTTATAATTTCATGTTATCCTTAGTTTCATAATTTGCTAAGATTTCAACGTTTTTATATTTAATTTCTGAGTAACAACGATTTGTTTCTCTGCTCTCTTATATACATACAAACATATATATGCAATCTACCTATAGATTCAAAAGGAGTAAATACTGAGAATCACTAAACTCTTGCATGTTTCCACCATTATCATCATCACCTTTACTGTTGTCCACCAGTGCAATTGGAAAGCACAACGAAAAATTGACGAAGATAGGTGTTTGCTTAAACTGTTTCTCAACTATTACAAAAGGGATATTTAGCATATTGTTAACAAAACAATCGAGAGGGAATTCAAAGTCTCCGAAGCGTTTTCAGTGAAAAAGATATCAAAATCTAAGTCGATCTCAAATCCTTAACGGTGCAAAGAATAAGAAGTTGTTCTTTTCTATAAACTCACTCAGAGGTACGCTGCAAATAGCAGACAAAACAATTTAATCTACAACATAATATATAATGACTATGGGTTCACATAAGATTGTTAAACCACCCAATTAGAACCAATGAGATTATTTAACCTAAAAACATGAAATGTGATACACCACCAAAGATATGTCTAGAGAAAAACTCACACAATGTTGTGCATAAAGTGACACAATCAAGAAACATTATGGAACCAAGCAACAGTTTTAAAGATGTGAGACTGAAAGACAGACATATTACAGTTGAACCAGAGTGAGGAGAAACTGGGCTATGAAAAGTTTGTAAATTTATGAATATCTTGAAACAAATATACGCGATAAAAAATACCCGAAAAATAATACAGTAAATAATACCATATCACGATGTCTTATGTCAAATAAAACCAACCCTGAGAAATAAAAGCACTTACTTGTTGCAAAGGATTCTGATCAATCGTAGCTTGAGATACATGAAGTGCACGGGAAAATAGCAAAAGGGTGATAGGTACATTTTGTTCTAGGTGTAAATCTAGCCATTCGCTAAGTTGTGACTGTAATCGTTCTTTGGGCAAGCCAACTGAACGCATACCTCGTTCCTGACACAAGCTCTGCAATTCCCAAGGCGGAATCTGATCGACACCTTCTTTTGCGATCAGCTGAAATAAACAGAAAACAGATAGTTAAAGCATAAAGATAAGTTCCACATTAATGTAATAGTAGAACTTGGGCTCTGTAATACTACATAATTTCTCCAGACCGGTAGCTGGTACCTTGACGTGGAGGTCGGGCTTGTGCATCACGATGACCCAACCAGCTATGCTGGTGGAACACTTGTTCCGTAGAGGTCCTACCTTACCAGAAAAGTCTGTTGGATATTGACTAGACAAAAAGCAGTTACCCTTACCTTTAACATGTTATTAAACAACGAAATGGTGCATTATGATTCCTTAGATCAGTCATCAGTGGTTAGTGGACATATGTCAGACCACACCTTCCATAATACAGGCCAATTTTCGTGGCACCAAAAACGTCGTACGTGATTGGCCTCTAGCAAATCTCCTCTGGGCTCTGAGATTACACAGTAATCTTACTTTTTTAGGTACCCCAAGAAGACCTAACCTCCCACGGTGTGTGCAGCCGGGAATTGCCAACAGTTCTCAAAACTCTATCAGCACTCAAGTTCCCTCAAACTACCACCCACCTCTCATCCTTATCTTCTAATCTTTCTACATGTCTGCCAGTTAACAATCCTACACTATTTTAACTCTTTCTGGCTCTGCAGCTTTCGACAACGATTTAAGTCCACAGAACAGCAACACTGGTTTCCTTAAACCATGCTCCAAATTACACACTGGAGCCTCCAATGTCCACACCCTCCGTCAAATTGGTCAACAGGCTTCGTTGGCAAAGACTCTAGCAACTCGGGCCATGGATGTTTGCTGTGTTTATGAGACACGCATACAGGACCCGAGTGCGGTTATCCACCTAACCTCTCCCGACCAATCTGGTGAATCCTCAAAATTCACTCTACGAGTTTCTGGAGATTCGATAACTAGCTCTTGAGGTCTTGCAGGTGTAGGCATAGCATTAAGCACTAGGGCAGAAAACTCACTACTAGACTGGATCCCAGTTGATGGTCGCCTCTGCGCTGTCCGGCTGAACGGTATAGTGAGAAGTAAAAGGAATAGTGAAACTCATCGTTGCCTCTTTGTAATCTCTGCTTACGCACCCACTGACTGCAGTTCGGATGAAGTAAAAAGTGAGTTCTACTGAAAACTGTCTAGTCTCCTTCTGAAAGCCAGACAATCGGACGTGATTGTTGTTACAGGTGATTTCAAGTGGGTAGGCTAAGTCAGGCAGAAAGGCACTTAGGTGACACTTTCAGAATCCCGGCTGAGCGAACAGATAAAGATGATCGCCTACTCCAACTGCGCTCAAGTAACCGTTTATTTCTAGCTAGCAAAAACTCCAGACATAAAGAAAGACACTGTCTGACGTAGCATCCACCAAGCTCAACTCAGCGATGGACACAAATAGACCACACTGCTACCAGTCATCATTGGAGAGGGTCGGTGGAAGACAGCCGCTCCTTCTAGAGCACGTTTTTGGATAGCGACCACACGTTGGTTCAAGCCTGTATACGTCTGCGTCTCGACAAAGGTAGAAAAACGTTAGCAGCAAGACCGTTACGAGTGCAGCTGGAAGATGAGAGCACCAAGGCCTCTTTCAGTGAAAAACTGGCTAGGTGGTTACCGGAATAGAACACTATCACTCATCCAGAAGATTGATGCCATTTGCAGTCTGCTGTAAAAACAGCGTTGAAGATTAAAGCTGACTCCCAAAGAGTGGTTAAAAAAGAGCCAGTGGACATCGGCACTCTCTTCTGAATTAATAGACGCGTGCGACTTCATCCCTGTAGCCTGAGGAGCAAACGCAACTCAAACGTAGACTGACAAAAAGTGTACGCAGTGACCCCGAACAGCGATAGGTGGCGAAGGCTAAAGAGATGGAAAAGGTAGCGGCGATATGTAACAGCAGACAATTAATTACTTACTAAGGAACCTGGGGTGAGAAGGTTTTATATAGATATATAAGGACGGTAGTAGAGTGGTTTTAGTCAAGTTAATTGAAGTACTGACTAGTGTGTGATCTCCTCTAACTGGTCTCAATTACTGATTATCCCAGCCTTCAAGAAAGGTGAGAAGTACTACTGTGATAATCAGAAATGAATCAGCCTGACGAACATTATTATTTGTCCCTTGGGTTCCTAGTGGAACATAAGGCTTCAGCACCACGTCCCCATTGCACTCTGTTCTCTGCAGTCTTTTCAACCTGGCTCCACGACTGCCCACAAGCTTTCATTTCTTCCTTACACGATCTCCTTCATATCACCCCCGGACGCCCAACTCGTCGTTCCGCATTTGGGTTCCATTTAAGGGCCTGGCACGCGATGTCCATGAATGGTCTTCTCAGTGCATGCCCAATCCATATCCACTTCTGCATATTTGCTGGGCGACAGGTTCTTTGTTGGTCCGTCCCCAGAGTTCCTTGTTGTTTATTCTTTCCGGCTATCTGATCTTCAGTATGGAGGTAATGTAGGCAGCTGTTGATGAATATCTGTAGTTTGTTGGAAATCCCTTTCGTAACGCGCCGAGTTTCTGAACCATATAGAAGCACTGACTTGACGTTGGTGTTGAAAATCCGGATCTTCTTTATGCTGAATGCAGTGAAATAGATCTCCACACTGATTTCAGGTTAATGAAAGCCTGTCTTGCTGTCTTTCCTATCCTGGCTGCTTTGACATCCTCATCTGTACTGCTGCTGCCGCCACCTGTAGTTGAAACGATGCTGCCTAGGTAGGTAGGTGGGAGAGACAACTTTCTTCTCGTTTCTCCCGTTGATGATGATTGGTGTTTGTTGTTGTTATTGCTGGTTGGGTATCTTCATCATCTCTGTTTTCTCTATGTTCACCTGAAGTCCCGTCTTCGCTGCTTCTTCTGTCAACTTGCTGCTTTGCCTGTAGATCTCCGGGTATTTGTGACATCGGACACAAATCGTCGACGAAATCCAATTCTTCTGGGTTCTTTTCATCGGTCCAGTCGGTGTATGCCTATCTTCTCACTCCTCACGGTTTGCTGCATTATCCAGTCCAGTCCACCACAACCGGAAAGATCATCGGTGATAGTAGGCAGTCTTGTCTTACTCCTGTCTTCACTTCAAAGGTGTCACTGAGCCGCTTTCCTTTGTGAACCACCTGGCATGTGGCGTCTTCATATAGCTGCTGGATGAGGTTGATAAAGGTTTGTGGTACTACGTAGTGTTGAAGCAGCTTCTTGCCAAATCACTTCTCGGTCGACGCTGTCGAAGGCCTTTTCAAAGTCGATGAAAGTTGAGGTAGAGTTGACTGCCACTCCATACTCTGTTCAGTGATGATGCGTAGCGTTGCAATTTGATCCGAATATGATTTGTTCTTCCTGAAGCCAACCAGCCAACCTGTTCCGGTCGTTATTTTGAATCCAGCGCATCTTTTAGTCTCTCTAGGATGATACGGCTTAATATTTTGCTTGGGGTGGACAGGAGTGGAGCATGATTCCTCGCCAGTTCTTGGAAGACTTAGGTCTCCCTTGTTTGGCAGTTTGACAAGGTAACCCTCCCTCCAATCAATATGCAGGTAACTTTCGTTTCTTCTTTCCAAACCTTCTGCAATAGTGATGTGAGCATGTTTGGTGTTGTCTCTGCGTGTTTTCAGTGTTTCTGGCGGAATCCCATTTGATCCTGCCGCTTTCCCGGATTTCAGTGACTACGGTGTTCAGGACTTTACTTCTGCTTTTGTCGGAGGGCTTGTGTTCGCTGGTAATTCTATGGCTTGCCTGCTGGCGGTATTTCTGGACGAGTTGCAAGTGGTGGTCGATTGAAGAGATTTTTGAAGTGGTCAGGATCTATTATTTAAGTATTTTACGTAACCCATCTCAACTGAGATGAGACTACTTGAATTCGAAGGATTGATAAGTGCTTAGGTTTTCTGCAGACACTAGCGTCTAACTATCCACCTTGTCACTCTTTTATTCTGCAATCCAGCAAGTTAGTTCACTGTATGAAATATCTAACAAACAGATCAACGTGATAGTTTCCACCTAATTATCCGCGGAAATCTCCCCCAACTTCGCCGTTAGTCAAGATTACCACCAAGTTACTTATGAAAGAGTACCGGTGATGTCTAGCTTGTTAACGAGTTTATTGGGATCGTATCACATTCCCCTACGAATACACAAATACGTGGTACGACGTTATATACCAAATGAATGACAATAGATTTAGTCTGTAAAAAAAAGCAATACTTATATTAGTCGTTATACACTATGTGCGAAGCCATGTGAAAAAAACGCTTCATTTATACACATCATGTTAGCCCTGAGAAGGATCAAAGAAAAGTAACAAGCTGATGATACTGCTCAGGAATTTAGACCATTACCAACTGTTTGTCATATGTAACAGCACGCTACAATTACTTTTCGCATCTTCTAGCTGAACATGAAACAGTCGCCCTCTAATTTATATGCTAACCTGAAAATTATATGAATAATAGGTAACCTAGTTTTACAGTTCCTTTGTTCTCATAAAGCCTTTTAATGGAACTACCCAAAGACTAGGAGTACTTTCAACCACTAACCTATCTTGTTATCGAACTAGTAACTAGGTGGTTTAAGTATGGGCCGTATGTGCAAAATGAAATAACCAGATTTAATTTGCTATAACTCCAGTCCCTGCCTAACCATTTATATACTCTCGACATATCCGACTGTTTCATCCTATTACATATTTCCTCTTTACACACAAAATTCCCAGTCGCTAGTGACCACACAATTTCTGATGCTGGTTACAACTTGTATTTCATATTTTAAAATAGTCCACTTTACAAAATTCTTTTCTTCCCGTACCGTCACCACCAAATCAAAATGTTTTATTTCCTCTTTTTAGATTCTTAAAAATTGTGAGGCTGGCACAATAATCGATAAAGTACAGAAACATAGTAAGACCTAGGAATGATGATCAATACCAGTGCACAACACTGGGAAGCAGTACTGTTAGGAAAACTCTCCTAATTAGTGACCCTAAAGCACGGATGACTTTATATTTTCAACACAGAAAAGTGATTACACGGAACTAAGATGAAGTAAACCTTGATGTCACTGCTTAAACAAAAAGATCAAAAGAACCTCACTCTGTCTTCAGCTTTCAGTTGTCTGACACGCATCCAAATCTGAAACCTCAGCAAATTTCTAGGACCAATAGTTGGAAGAGAAAGTAGTTGGCATAACATTCTAAGCTGTTTACTATCCAGTGAATCCAGCGTCACTTGATCCTCAAAAAGTTTGGAAAATCTGGTGATGTCTTTGGCTTGAGCTTGTTCCCCAGACCTTTGTAACTGTTGGAAAGAGAAAAAATTATTTTTTATACTGGATAAAGTTGATATAGCTTTCTGGTTGATTCTGCTAGTCCCGAAATTGGCAAACCTAAGCTTTAAATATACGACCAAGCAACAGAATATGATTTGTACACTGAGATTCAGTTTCTTTAAATTCTAAAAAGATGTTTGCATTTTATTTACCAGCATAAAACGTTCGACAGGAGAGTATTATTTACGAAAAAGCATACAATTTCAAGCAAGAGAAGTCACGCTAAGACGGTTGCATAGAACGAAATTATGTCATTACCTTAACTGGTGGTGGGAGCTTGGTAAGTTATTTCGCTCGTGTAACCAAAACTTTTCAAGATACTTACCCTCCAACAAATATTCGCAACAACCACGGGCTGGATGTCAATAAACATTAAATGATTTTTAAAATATCGACCCTTAAAATTGTTTCTTCCGTTACTGGTTATCTCCTTCAAAGTACGGATCATATTAAATGAATAATTACAAAATTTACTTCTATTTTCAGCTTAAACTCTACCAACTACATTTGGGAAGATCTTAAATACTATTGAAAACTATGAAGTTGCTCCAAGTCTAGCTATTTTGAAATTTTATTGACATAAACCAGTGCCGACTATATTATCAGCTTCAATCACTTTCTACTAGTCTTTTTACTGACAAAAAATAGTAAGGGAGTTGTAACAAAAGTCAATCGTACCTTTTTAATAAACTCCTGGAATTCAGCGACCGAAGGTGCATCTGAACTATTTTTGCTAGCTCCAGTGGTTTGAATCATAGTCTCTTGAAGAAAACGAGTCAGTTCTAGTTTGGCTCTTAACCTTTGTTGAATAGCATTGGCCTAACATAATAAATAGTAAGTTGGCAATACCTCAGATGATTTATCTTTGAATGTGCTAGGCATCATAAAAGGGAAGAACTTCAAGTAAAGTGGGAGCAGGACCTCCAGAAATGGAACAATCAAAAATACTACAAATGGTACGAGGCGAATAATGTCAGCCACAGTGCGAACAAGCTAAAATTGAAGTGATCATTTCATACTGACCATTACTTGTTTTCTTTCTCTCCTCGTTAGTGAGTGACCTCGTAAAACTCTGAATAAAATCCCTGAGGCGATTCCGACTTCAAAAAAAATAGTTTACACCCATGGTAATAATGCTTGACCACCGATCGTGCACGTGACGGAAATGACACGACCCAATTTCGGATCTTAACCCAATAAATCTGGATCGAAGTTTGTTTTCCATCCTGATACACATTATAATTTAGGAATTAAACTAACATTATTTTCATCAGGTTGCTTAATTGGCGGCTGGGCACTAGAATCCAAAGAAGTACCTTTCTGCACCGTCGGAACTGCAGTTTCAACTTTGAAAGCGTCTACTTTCAGTTTAGGAATGTTGCCCAGAGATTCTGCACGTTTGTTCTCCTGAACATGGGTGAGATACGGTTGACCTGAATTAAAATAACAGGGAGAAGCCCTTGAACATAGTTGTGAAGGTTTAAAACTGAGCAAAACTATTTTATTCATGCGGTAACTTGATGGAAAGCATGAAATCCATCTCTGCTGGATGCCACAGGAGGCAAACAAACGTATATGAGGCCTCAAACCACTGATAGACCTGAAATACACATGTTAGTCAGAAAAAAACACAGATCACCTCAACAGCATAACCATCTTTCCATGAAACGAAGCGCGCAATGCAACTCCAATATCCAATGTCCAATATTGATAGTGCGAGCGTAGAAAACTGGTAGTTTTTGATCTCTCGCGTCTAGTTCTTAGGGCTTGGTTCCAGTTGTTCAGTTTACTCCTGCAGTGGACGAGAAAATCCCCTCTGCTTTCTTGCTTTTAGCTTCGGTGACGTGGATGTTTTGTGGGTTAGTAGGTTGTAATTTGTAGTGATTAGGGAGCTACGGGTTGCTGGGAAGTTTAGAGAACAACCGTGACTCCTGTCTGTGTAGGTACCTGGAAGAGAACTGTAAGGTAGTGGTAAAGGAATGAAGAGAGAAATAAGGAAGAGGAAAAAAATAATAATAATGTAGGGAAGAGAAAAGGGAGGGAGAAGAAAAGGAGGGGTGAAAAGAGAAATGAGAACGAAAGAAAAGTATTTGGGAATTGCCCGAATGGTCGCGTGGGTTTGGTTCCTACAGAAGAATCAGTAGGTAATGTGGGTGTATTAAGGAGAGAGATAGTGAGTGGTAGTTAGGAGGGAGTTGGGGGGTACTGAGGTTGGTGACTACCTGAGTACGTCCGTGGTAGTCCATGTGAGGTGACATAACTGTCTAACCGCCTCTTGAAAGAGTCGATTGAAGGAGCTATAATGATGTGTCGCGGTAAGGCATTCCATAAAGCACATACTCTCAGGGAGAAAAATTTGGACCTGAGTGTGGTGTTGGCTCTCTGGTGTGCTATCTTAATAGGGTTTCCTCGTGAAGATCGTTCAGTTGCAGGCAAAATTGATTTGTTTGCATGGTCTGCCTGATGGACGATCTTGTATGCCATAATGAGGTCACCCCTTTTCCTGCGATAACCCAAGGTAAATAGGTTTAGGTGTTTAAGTCTTTCAGGATACGTCTTTCCCCTTAGCCCCACAACACATTTTGTTGCAACTGTACCGCTCTGCAATCCAATATCTTTTAACAAGCTAGTGTAAACCATTTGATTTCTTCGCGCTCGCTTCTACGTCTTGCGGAACGGTTCCAGGTCTTTGGTCGATTCCAATGCAGTAGGGCACAACAACTCTTGTGGAATAGAAATCTTGCTTTCTAAGCTAAGTTTGCCCCTCTGGAGATAAGAGGGGAAGACAACAGTCCCGAACTCCAGGTGAGGTCGTATGAAGCCGTTAAAAGTTTGATAGGAGCATCTACGACCAAACCGTCTGAAATTTCACCTGAGTTACTAGCACCGAGTTTCCACAAAATGCGTTTCTGTCACGCTTAGCATAAGATTTTAAATCCTGATGGACTAGGACACCTAAATCCCTCTCTGTCAGCGACGCTTTAAGTTCCATGCCGTTAAGGCTATATACATGGGATGCATCATGTTTAACGTGTATCACCTTGCATTTCTGGGGAGTAAATGCAAGCTGGTTATTGACTGCTCAGTTGTTGAGTCAAGTCAAGTTTTCCTGTAGAAAAACACCGTCTTCTTCACTTTTGATTTCTCCCCAGAGCTTTACGTCATAAGCAGAAAGAAGGATTTCGGAGGAGACCTGTTGCGGCAGGCCGTTTATGTAGTTTGCGAGTGTGGTTGCTTATTACGTTAGGTAACTTGAAGCTCTTCGGCCTTGAAAGTGGAACAGACTGATTTCATGCACGGTCTTGTTAAGTATGAATCTCCAATGGGCGTTCATATCTTGCCATACATGGTTAACTATCCAATCTGTCTGTTCCACTTCGTTTGGAAGAGCCAGAGTGTTCAGTCGTTTGAAGTCCCAGTGACGTTCATTGAAAGGTCTGGTTAGATTGGTTTTGCAAATAAACCGATGACGACGTGGTCACTTCTACCCAAAGGAGGAAGGATTGCCAAGTTGTCTATCAGGAATTCTTCATTTGTGAGGACGCAGTGCAAGTGAGACGGGATTTGAGTCTCCTCCGCAGGCGTTACTGTTCTCACACTCTCCGTAAACCGCAGCTCCCCAACCAGATGGAAGGGTCTAGCCTCAGTGGAATCGTCACTCCCGCTAAAGGCGTGATCTCCAAAGCTGACCTTCGGTAGGTTAAGGTCATTTACAGTTGGTATGTGTGTGCCCTAGTGCCCTAGGAGAGCAACTGATTGCCTCTAGTACCTGGTCAACAGACGGCTTCCTATAAATGACTCCCACCAAGCACTTCATGGTTTTGGATGGCTTTGTGGTGCACTAAATGGACCCTCCGAGGCATCCCAGTTCTTCTATATGAATTTGGTGGGCTGGTGGGGGGGCTGACATAAAGTGCTACCCCACCCAGCCTTTACCAGCCTTCCTGTCGCTGTAAAACGGCATGGTACTAGCGATTGCCAGCTCCTGATTTGGCATGTCCGGCGAAGCCCATGTCTCAGTAACACCGATAAGGTGAGCATAAGTGTCCTTACTTAGTTCCCGCAGCCCGTCTTGATTGTTTGGTAAACTTTGTGCATTAGTGTAGATGCAACTTATGCTATCTACTTGGAATGCAATGCCCGCACCCTCTCTGTTTCCCAGTTGGCTGGCTGGATCCTCAGGTCTGGGGGTTGGGAATGTGCCTAAGTCCTGCCTACCAGCATAGCGTTCCCGCCACTTCAATTAGTTCTTAGCTGATCCTATCTACGTCTGAAGTATGTACCAAACCCGTGTTGAAGGGGGTCCGATGGCGCGGACTGGAAACTCCTGCAGGAAAAGCATTCTAGGGTTCATCCGCTCTTGGGGAAGAGTTGTCCCTGCTATGTTCCAGGCTTAGTTTCTGTTTATGTCTTTTAAGATTGGTGCTACAGCTAGTATTCAATAACTGGTGGAGTGAACGTTAAGGGGTGCCCGGGATGTTGTGAGCCATTATCAGGTCTCCTCTCAGTCTTCTATATTCCGGGAGATATGGCCGCAGCGCGGCCAGTGGTTAATCATCTGCTTTAAACCTAAGTCCTGGAACAGATTTGATCGAGTGCCTCAGGATGCGTTCTGAGCTTAATTTGTCCTTCTGCAGAGAAAAGTGAAAGGCGACTGTGCCGCACTCTAGGTGAAGTTGTATGAAACCGCCGAATATTCGGTGAAAACACCTACGTTAGAACAACCTAAAAATTCGTCTGTGGGGTTTAGATGAGATACGTTTCCGTCACAACTGGGACGGGATTGTATGTCTATCGTGATTAAATCACCCCAGTCCCTCTCCTTTAGCAGCGCTCTAAGCTCCATGTCACTGAGGTTACATACAGGAAATGCTTCATTCTTTATGTGTAACTTCTTGCACTTTTAAGGATCAGACGCGACTGCACTACTGACTCCACGGTTTTGAAGTGTGGTGAGATTAGAGGAAACTTGCAGTTTTTGAGCTGCCACTTTTAAGTCTTGAGGCTTGACGCTTTTATTTCAATCACACCCCTTCTGCAATCGTATAAGTCCACGTAGTTCACCTGTTTGCAGCTTTTAAAGTAGTGATTGTCCCTTTGAGGGTTTTCTTTCGCTGAATGTAGGCCTGGGGGAAAAGAGGCTCCAGAAGGAAATAATTGGCCTTTTGCAATTTCTGTCCCCGTGACCGTCTCCAAACAAGCGCTGCAGGAGGCAGACGAGTGAGGGATGAGAGAAGAGGAGTGAAAATTACTTATGGAAAACTAAGTAGCGCTAGTAATAATATGGAGAAGGGATGTGTCTAATTACATATATCAAGGTTGAGGAGTGCAGAGATGGATAAGCATACCTTCGGTCACTACCGCCGGACGCCCATGGTAGGCCATTTGTGCTCACGTGCTTATCGACCGGCCGTTCGAAGGAGTTGACTGATATAGCTGTGGCTACTTACTCCGGCAGTGTTCCATTTGGCACAGTGTGGAAGAAGAAGTTTGCTCTTACCCTCGTCTTTGCTCAATGGTAGGGTATACGAGGGGGGTCCCCACTAGGCTGTCGGTTTTGGGTCGACAATGTTGACCTTTGCGGATGGTGTACTTAGTGTATGACCCTTCTGGCCGTTAGTAGGTCGTCTGTTTCCCTTTGATAACTTAAGAAGTAAGTCCGGCAAGTTGAGTTGCCTAAGGGGTTGTTCATGTTTCGATTGCTAGCTTGGCAACCGACGTCGTCGCCCTTCTCTGTACCTTCTCCGGAGTAACTGTATATTTCTTTGGTAGAGGAGGGCCATAGCGTCAAGGACCCCTAGATGTGGTCCGGCATAGGTTTTAAATATCGCGAAGAACGATACAGGCGTTAGCGCTCTAAGCTACCTTCTTAGAAGGTGAGCGACAGCAATCTCCTTTGTCACCATCCCTTCACATATGTCACTAGTATATAGTGTGTCAAAGAAGTTTGGCCCTAGGTCCTTCTTCGTGGATACCTCGATGACCGCGTACTTGTTGAGGATGCGGCCGGTTTTTATTGCTCCGGGTGTGCGAAGGTGCATCGCCTTGCATTCGTCCAGGTTGGAGACTAGGGGGTTCGCGGCTGACCAAGGCCTCAACTGAGGCAGATTGTCCTGGAATATCCTGGGATTCTCTTTCTTACCTACTGTCTTCATATTTTGACGCTATCGGCAAGCGGGAACATAGATGAAGAGACTCAAGGGAGTAGATCACAGACAGATGGTAAAAACAGGGGTGGCCCAGAGACCGCTCCTTAGGAGACTTTTACCCTTGCACTTCCCCGGGCTGACCGAATTCTGTTCACTTCTGCGTAGACTTCTCCATCTCTTAAATATGCTCAAACCATGTGACAATGAGTTCAGTGATATTCACTCTTCCAAGTTTAGCAAGCATGGCGTGTTCCGGGACCCCATTGGGAGCCTTGCGCGAGCCAAGAAAGCTAACGTGGACTGATCGCTTGTCGTTTCATCTGTTGGCCCAGTAACCAAAAGCGGTCCTTGATTGTGTGGCACATGGCCATCCGGCCTTAGGGCCGTGTTGTGTGGAATAAGCAGCGCTGTTTCCGTTCAAGTGGTTCCAAACAATATCTGCAACCTGGCTATCCACTACCCTGGATGGTGGAGAAAGTAACCCCGTCGGTTTGTTATTATATGAGC